AGAATTCGTGAACGTCGGTTGGCACAATTTATCCCATGGGGTCCAGCAAGTATTCAAGTAGCTATTACTAAAAAATCTCCATATATACAGACATCACACCGTGTGAGCGGCTTGATGTTGGCTAATCATACCAGTATCTCATCGGTATGCTATACTCTTAGAAAGACAGAATTTTTTGGATAGATATTCACGATCTTTTTTTTTTTTTAAAAAAATATGTTTAGTTGTTAAAACGTACCTGTGACCAATATGACCGATTTAGAAAACGTGGAGCTTTCTTAGATTCATATAGAAAAGAAGACATGTTTTCGGACAATCTGGATGAGTTTGATGTTGCTAGGTGGGAACAATATGGAATAACAAAAAGTAAATTTTAGTTTCACTAATAATTTTTTTTTTTTTGTGAAAAGAGAAATCGTTCAAGATTTGATCAAAGAATATGAAGCATGTGAAAGTCCAGATTATATTAACTACGTAGGTCATTAAGTCATTCAAGGTTTTTTGACTTCCTTTTCACTTACATCTTATTATTTATTAATGTATATAGGGGAATCAATAAATAAAGTATTTATGTATATTCAACTGCAATTTCATTTATTCGCTTTAATCTTAAAAGTACTGAGTGCACGTTTTGTGTTGAATACTAATATATTAAGCCAATCTATTACCAATTATTAAATTATGCATCAGTACACAAGAAATTTTCATCTTTCGTAAAGGAATTAATAGGCAGTTTCTATCACTAAATAATAGCTATGTTGAAATCAAATTTTAATCAATTCAATTGATTTGTATGTAACAAAGATTGTATTGAATTTTTGCTTATTATATATAATATGTTGCAAAAAAGTTTTTGGACTACAATAAGCCCTTTGTAAATGCGCATTATGTTTCATTTTTCTCAATACAAACTCTTTATAAGCACAATTTCTAAAATTTTTATGAGAGTATATTATATATACAGATTCAAACAATATTATTTATTTATTTAATATGCTAGCATAGTTTTTTATTTGATTTGATGTCAAGATTTACAAGAAATATTATAAAACTATATATGTTTGTCAAATTTGGTTTATTATTGAGCCTATAATATTATAAAGTGAATTTATTAAAATTAATTAAATATAGTGCAATATACTGTATATAATACATGTGATATAAATTATTATACTATTAATTTAATTTCAAAATTTCAAAAATAATTGTGTTGTGATTTAATTTTTATATTTAATAGTAACTCAATTAATTATATCAAGAATTTATAAATTTTAGTAACATATATACAGTGGTCGACATAAAGATCCAGAATTTTTTTTTATAAGGAAAAAATTTTTAATTTATTTATACTAATTGCTTAAATTTCATATACACGTTATTTAATATGATGACTACAATATACGAAAAGCTTAATAATCAATTTTTTTCCCTTCGCACTTAATCACCTCTAAAAGTCGGTTTTCCATACTCATCGCCAACCTAAGAAAGATATCTGAATCTAAACCC